TGGGCAGATAGGTACATGGCTTGATGAATGGGTATATAGTGGACATATGGATACTATGGGTGGGTAGGTGGATAGATTGATAGGTAGATGAGTATGCATTAGTGGATGGGGGATAGATGAGTGGTTGAGTGGGTGCATGGGTGGTAAATGGGTAAATGAGCAAGGATAGGTGGGTGTATGTATGGATATGGGGTGGGTAAGGTGATGGATGGGTGGATGAGTAGACAGATGAGTGATGGGAATAAGTGTCCATCAGTTAGTGAAACAGCAGACATATGGGTGGGTGGATGGATAAATGGATCAGTGGATAAGGGGATGGATGGATGGATGGATGGATGGATGGATAAATGTATGAGTAGGTAGATGGGTAGATGTTTGGGTAGATATATGGACATATGTATGGAATAGAAGAGGGGAGAAGAGATGGGTGGATGATTGGTTGGAGGATGAGTAAGCAAAAGGATGGATGGATGAGAGTCATAAAAGTTGGCAGACAGATAGCTAGACAGATAACTGGGTCTGCAGAGGGAAGAACTTTGACAAACAGGATTTGCCAAGCAGGAAAGGGAGAGAAAAGAGAGTCCTGGAACACCCAGGTAGGGGTTAGGGAGTGTTAAGGCAGCCTGGAGAGGATTTCTGAGAGGTGAGGACTAACTCAAAAAGACTGAGCAAAGTGATTTGTTTTACCCAGGATTGGGGTCAGAGGAGGACCTGGAGAAAGCAGGTGCCCACTGCTGTGAGAGTAGAGGTCAACATCAGTGCAGTGAGGAGGGCACCCCAGAGCTCTAGGGGTTCATTAGGGACCAGTGGCTATATCAGTAGGTGCCAAGGACTCCAGGTTTAGGTGATCACGGTTAGAAAGTCAGGAAGGGACCAACTTGGGAAAAGGGGCAAGAGTCTGGAGCCTGAACACCCCAAGGCCAGCTCCATAGGGTCCTAGCCAACTGTTGAGTTGACAGAGGGTGGACAGGCCCACAGTGGGCTTTTAGGAGACGATGGGACTTGTGAGAACACACTGAATAGTCCTCAAAGGAGTGGGAAGCTCTGGGCCTTCCTCCACCCACATAAAAGTCACTGAAGCATCTCAGAAGAAAGACTCACTGGGTGGAAAGGTGGTCTGCCTAGATCCAGGCCTCACTCATCCTAGCCTCAACTCTCAAGCCAGAGGCTGGCCAGTGCCATTTATTTTCATGTTACTGCTATCCAGTCTTCCTCTTCAAAGATAAGCTTGTGTCTTCTAAGCAGTTCCCCATGACCACTGTGTACCCTGAGTTTAAAAGCAGCCCTTGGATTGTAGGCTGCCCTGAAGACCCCCTTTAGCATCCCAGGAGAGACTCTGGAGTGCAAACAAAACTGAAAGCTAGTGTTAACCGGTGTGCTGGCTTGCACCTGTAATTTCAGTACCCGGGTGGCTGAGGCAGAAGGGCTGAGATTGCCATGAGTTCTAGACCAGCAAGGACATACATCCATTTGCAGTTCCAAGCTTGCTTGGGGTGGAGTGTGAAACTGTATCAAAAAACTAGCCAAACACAATAAAAAGAAATGCTAGTGTGTAGCAATAATTGGGGGGAAAGGAGCAGGGTCCCAGGCACAGGGCCTCAGCAGCTGCCCCAGCCTGGACTCCTCCCACATGGGGGAAGGGCACATGCCCATCTGCACTAGGAAAAGTCGGGGTGGGGGTTAAGGACTACTAATAAAGGTGCAGAAAGAAGATATCCAGGCCAGACTTCAAGCATCCAGGGGTCTGCCTCACTTTACTCCCAGGATCAGGGATCCCAAAGACCAACCAGGTGAGTCTAGTGATGACTGGGGACAGGCTCCAGCATAGCCTTTATAGAGGGAACAGTAGGGGTGACCGCATGTGCAGGGAAACCATCCTGTTTTTCACGGAGTCCCCATGTCCATCACCAACCATGATTGCTCACCCATCTTGCTCCCCAACCTCCAAGGCTAAGGGCAATGTTCCCTGGGGTAGGCATTCATTTGAAAACATCATGGGATCCCTTTAGCCCTACAGCATCCCATCTTTGAGGACTTAGGGAAAATGTAGTCCTCCACAGTCTAAGTTCCTTGGAGAGTGGCTTGTTGAGCCCCGCTTCTTTTCATACTTCAAAGCCTTTTCTTTTTCATCTGCTGCCCCCCTATGAGCCCCCAGGCATCAGACACCCTTTCCTCCCTTCCCCTCCCTCCCAGCCTTTCTTCCCTTTGCCCCCTCCCCCATATAAAAGAGCAAAGAACTCGGTAAATAGTATTTTAAATGCTTTATTAGGTTTGCGAGCGTTAACAGGTTAAAAACAAAACCCAAGCTTTGGATTTTGCCAGAAAATGCATGTTAAAGGGACTGAGTTGAGGCAAACACCTGGGGCCACTGCTGGATGACATGGACAGTGGCACAGGTGACATATGGCGTTCGACGCGTGGGAAGTCTTCACATGATGACAAAGGGAGGGACCCAAGAGGGGGATCCCACCGAAGACAGTGGGGAAGAGACAAGATGGAGGGCCACACTAGGCATGGGAAGCCAGGGAGGTGCCTACATCAGGGTGACCTATGATGGGGAGAACTGCAAATCTGGGGACACAGAGGGTAGTCAGGAAATGCCCCTGAAAACACCCATCCAACGAGGCATATTAACACTGGGTGGGTGTCCAGTCAAATGAGCAGGTATTTTAGGGTGCCTCGAGATATTTTGGATACCAAGCCAATTCACATTTTCCAATTATAAGAATTTACTCTTTGACTTTCTGTCCAATGTTCCAAATGGCCCATTCTTTAGGCACTTGCTGAGGGACCCTCTGTGCCATGCTTGGCTGACACCCACCGCCCCCAGGGTGGTGCCAGTCCTGTCACCTGGGCCCAGAAGCCTCAGGCCTCTAGATTGCTAGTTGGACTGTTGGGCAGGGGGACTGCACTGGAAGCAGAAGTGGGGGTGAGGTAAACTTCCAGCCGCCCTGTTCCCCACTGCAGTCCTAGGCACCGTGGAGTGGCTGCTACGGCTCACCAGACCCTCGGGCCCCAGGGCCCAGACGACCCCATGTACACAGTTCTCCTAGCTCTGTCGGCTTTAAGCCTCCTCACTTCCCCAACTCCAGGCCTCACCCCACCTTGCCCCTAGGAGGTCTGTAGAGCTCCAGACCTCCTGTGGGCAAGGTGGGGTGCTGAGGAGTGGGCAAGATGACACTGAGGGACAGGGGTGGACCTCCCCCAAGTGCTCAGAAGGCAGCCACTTGCTCCTGCCTGATGGAACCTCTCTCCACATCTATATCCCCTTCCCCCCCAACTGGCAGTAGCCAGCTGGGGGCCCCGCCCCATCTTTGTGGCTTCCGAGCACCTTCCTAACACCTGAGGGGACACTGCCCCATGCCCCCTCCACTCCTCAGAACTTCTGAGGACCAGCCACTGTCCCCAGAAGTCAGGCCAGGTAGCGGCCTTCTCAATTCCTTTTATTTCTCTGTGGGTGCGTGGCCAGCACCCCACAGAGACTCCACTCCCAACTCAGGCCCAAGCGATAGAGAGAGAGATAAAAAAAAAATCAAATCAAGGTTGATAAATGGCGGAGAGCAGGACATTGGTGGTAGCCGGTGTTGATGGCTCTGGCCGGTGTTGTTGGCTCGGTGCATTCATTACTTGATCACTGCTCCCATTACATAGGGAATGGGTACAATTTGATTATGAGCGCATAAAAAGCTAAGGAGGGATAAAAAAAAAAAAACAAAAAAAAAAAGGGAAAAAACCGGCCCCAGAAACAAAAAGAGGGGAATAGACCAATTGGCATAAAATTTGGGGTCCTGATTCTTCAGTAATTCTGCAAGTTGACCTGTGCCTCCTCCTGATTCTTCCACTAAAACCTCTCTGGGACCACTTCCTACCCGTAGTTCCCCCCACCCAGCCCCCACTGCCCCCCACCCACCCCTCCAACCGCCAGACTTCCCACACTCCCCATCATCAGTGTGAGTCTCCTGGGGAGCCCCTAAAAAGTGGGGGCTCCCCAGGAGACTGACAGAGATGGCCCATAGGTGTGCTTGGGGTAGGGGTTGTCCCCCAGATCTTTCCTCCCAGGAACACACCTAGGGGTCAGGCTACTTGGGCAGCATGTATCACTTGGCAGTGCCATCTCCTTATCTGGCCAAACTTATTCTACACTGGATAAGCACTGGTCCTCATGGGGGCTGGGGAGCACTGGGCTCATGCTGTAGGGGTCCATGTGGACAGGTGCTCAGATGGAAGTGAGCCTGACTAGGACACCTTCCTCACCGAGAAAGACAGAACTAACAGCCTGGTCACACAGGACAAGCAGCAGCAGAAACTAGATGGGTTGGGAGGGGAGCTCAAACCATGAGGACTGCTCAGGGAATTTGGAGTGGGCCTTGGTTTGGGCAATGGGGTTCGAATCGAAGTTTTTCAGCCAATTAATTCAATGTTCTCATCCAATTGTGTGTGTGTATGTGTGTGTGTGTGTGTGTGTGAGAGAGAGAGAGAGAGAGAGAGAGAGAGAGAGAGAGAGAGAGAGAGAGAGAGAGAGGAAACGTGTGAGTATAAACATGTGCTTTTTAGGGCAGGTACAGAAAAAGTGAGATTTTGGGGACTGGGGGCTTGTGCCAATTAAGTTCTATTTCCAGTTCTCATGTTGTGTTCCTCTCTTTGCGTTCCTTCACCCAGCCCCCCTCTTGGTGACATGGGGGACATCTGTGATGGAATGACCAGTGAAGAAAGAGTTTGGGTGGCTACTGTTGTTCACAGCCAGCTTACGCTAAAAGCGCCTGGTGACAAGGAGAAGGCACTGAAGCAATGACATGCCACCTGCAAAATTTAGGGTCCCCTTCCTTTCTTCTTGGGTTCTGAGATCCAAGTCTAAGCCAATTTGACTAAAGATCCAAATGGGAAGAAGATGAAGGGGGGGGGGCGCCGAATCATTTGATTTTGCCAATTGTTTTTAAGCCAATTAAATTTTAGTATGTTTTTAGCCAATTAATTTTTTTAGTTATTTAATTTTTAAATCATTTGTGGAGTTTCTTAAAAGCCAATTTGTTTTAAAGGGACTGTATGTTTTAAAGTTTTTTTTTTAATTTGTATATATAATTTGGGGGGTTGTCAATTGGGTTGTTTAGAGCCAATCAAATTTGTTTTTGAAGAGTTGCTGAAATCCCCTTGCCCGATGGTGTGGGGCAAGGGGAGCAGCCTGATGTGGGGAGGCGGGGCATGGGGGTAGGTAGGGAGAAACCTGGGGCGGGAAGTGGAGCAGAGAGATCTTAGTGTGGGACGTGATGGAACTGTCCCTGCTCAAGAGGAGGGCACAGATTGATGGTACTACATTGCAGAATTACCACATAATTTGGTTCACTGATGGTTGCTGGACATCTCCGAAGAGGCTCCCCCGTGGGCGGGGTCTCTGGGTGGTAACACGATCAGGGGACGGTGACGTTTGGCCTCTCTGAACGCTTCGAGCTCTTTGGCAAGCATGCGACCCCGGCGGGCACGCAGGAGGGCAGGCAGGCCTCTGCGCAGGCGTCCCGCGGACTGTCTCCAGGTGTCATATTGGAAGAACTTGCCCACGGGGTATCTGGGGAAGTCGTCCTGGAGAGGAGGTGCTAGTCAGCAGGTTTCGGGGTATCATGTTAGCCTGATCTCCCATCCAGGTGTCACTCCCACCCCCACTAGAGTCACACCAGCTCATGGCGACTTCCCAGAAATATCTACGTGAATGGGCAGAGGCCAACAGTAAAATGTGGGTGGACTTCGCAGCACCTCAAATCAAGAAGCGGGTGGTCTCTTTGTTTCACCTCACAATTCCTTCGACCCCGCCCCACTACCTACCGGAAGTACGGCCTGAGAGGTAGACACGTCCCTCTCGGACTTGGCGGGGGTGGCACAGTAAGTCTCCAGAAGGGCCAGGTCGCAGCTGCGGAAGCAGCACTCTTCCACGATGCCACGGCTGCGACGGTTGGCACGGCTTGAAGGCCTGCCTGGAAGTTCCACAGGACACACAGCTTCAGTTAGTGTCCACTGGGGATCAGCACCCACTGGGGTGGCCTCCCCAGATTACCCCTCCCCCCAGGGAAGACTGAAGAAGAAAGGAACTACCCCTGCCCTTCCACTAGGCCCTGGCCGTCACCCTGCAGGGATGTGGTAGAAGTGTGAGCCAGACAGGCCAAGATGCCCAGAAAGGAAAAATAAAGGTGCATGCTGCAGGACCAGCCCCTGGCATCTGGTGCCTCCTGACTGGCAACTAACACAGCACAGTCTCTCTGTCCCACAGACTCCATGGAGACCAGAGGCCACACTGGAGTGGTTTGGAAAACAGGGAGGAGGGGGTGAACCCCTCGAGGGGGCCACGGTGGACACAGGTGTGGACTTGGGGCCCACCCCCAACCCCCATTGCTTAACTGTGACAGGAAGGGAAGATAGGGTAGGAGAGAACAAGACGGGAGGGGAGGAGTGAGGCACCCAAAAACCACTCCCTTCTCTTCTCCCGTCTTCCCCCTCTCCCCCACGGTCCGTGGTTGGGCTTGGGGCCCTCCTATCTGTGAAGCCCCTCCGTGCAGGAGTGGCTCCCAAGCAAGGACTGGTCCTGCAGTACCCAGGAACAGGAGTAGTTTCCAGAGGTTTGAGCACTCAGAGCAGTTCACAGGCAGGTAGGCAGAAGTGAAGAGGAGGAGGCTGCGTGTCCAGGACCAGGCGAGGAAGATAGAGTGGCCCATGCCAGCAAGAACAGTCATCCATTCTGGTGCCCCTGCCCCTCCCATGCACGCCCCACCCATGTGTCCCCCATCACTGTCTTCTGTGAGCAGTGAGCCCATGCCCAGCCCCTCCCCCAACTGGGAAATCAAGAAAAGCATGAACATTGAAAGCAGGTAAGCACCCCATGTTATAGATCTGGGAACCTCTGAATTTGGATGGCCAAGGTCCTGCTCTCCCACTGTACCCCCCAGACTACATGTACACTCTCAACCTGGCAAGGACCTGACAACCACATATGGTTTTGCTTTTATTAACTTTAAAAGCTTTTAAAACTATCAGACTTGTGAATATGAGATTATGGCCCTGCCCAGGGGGGAGGGGTAGCTTAAGCCCAAAGCCAGACCCGTGTACTAACTGTCGCCCCATCCAGGGAGGCTTGCTCCCCCCTCCCCCGTCTCTCTGGAGTTACTTACTGAAGTAGAAGCCGCGGTCCGAACAGACAAACTGAAGCGTGTCAACAAGCTCCCCTCCGCACAGAGTCTCTCTGGGGCGGTAAGCAGCGATGCAGCACAAGGCGAAGGCCAAAGAGATGAGAAGCACCAACATCGACTTCCCCACTGGGATCCCCATTGGTACCTGGAGAAAGAAATGCAGGCTATGAGCTAGAGGCCCCAAGCCACACCCCTAATCCTGAGAGGCTGGCTTCTCCCAGCCACCAAAGTCACCTATCATCTCTTAATTAAAAATGTAATTGGAATTTGAAAGACAGCCCGTCTCATCATTTATTTAACCTGAGGGAAAAACAGGAGAACTTGTATTGCTTAAAACCACTTTAAGTATGGAGAAATTCAATGGAGCCCAGGAAGGCACCCCGTGGTGGCTTTGAACTGTTAAGAAACCCTCGAGGACCACCCATCCATGGGCGCAATTGCAGCTTAACCACACCCACAGCAGCAGGGGCCAGTGCTGGACACTGGACCTGGTTTCCATGCTATGACATCATGGGGGTGGGGCCAGCCCAAGGGCACATCACCATTGCCACTCCCACTCTGGCTTCTAAGCACTGGCCAAGATGGCAGATAGCTCCACCCCACCCACCGTGGAGCATGTGCATCCAAAGGGACCAGTCGCCAACCTCCCCAGCCACCAGCTGGCCAACCCTCCCTAAGCAGCAGAGCCAGCCCCACCCATCCGCCCCACCTCCCAGGCCATGGTGAGCAGGTCAAGAATCCAATGGTTAGCGCAATGGGCCTGCCAGCGCTCGTATGAGCCTTGCTCTCCAGGGTCACCCAGTCCTCCAAGTGTAGATTTTCCTGGGCACCTCAGAGCTTGAAAAAGAGCCTAAAGTCCTATACCAGGCCTCAACCCTTACCATCCATGGTCAGGGACCCTAGAGAGTCCCTCTATGGCCCATAGGATCATCTTTCTGATAAGAGCTAAATCTACCCAGGGTACTAGAGGCAGCAGTTTGGGTCCCTGGGAGGCTGAACACCCCATTTTGGAGGGACACACCCCCTCCACAGATTGTGTGGCAACAGGTGGGGACAATGGTTAGCTAGCTTTTTAGTGGTGGGAGGCCACGATAACCCACAGTAAGCCACCCTTGACCCTGCAGCAAGTAAGAGCCCTCCAGGCCGAAGCCCCAGCCTCTGCTCCACAGGCCCAGGGGATTTCTTGCTGCAAAGAAACATGTGAGAGACCAGTGTGGAATAATTTGTTTGCGCTCCCTCTGGTAACTAAAACTCATCTTTGTCCACCTCCTCAACAAGACCCAGACCGACCCTCCCAATGCCCTCTGTGCCACCAACCACTTTTGATCAGCAGGCTATAGCTACAACAGTTAGTCCTGGGGTGGGGTGAGGGAGGCAGGCAGACGGAGCTGACCTCGAAGTCCCTTCCCAAAGCCAGATCACACTGGCTGGTCCAGCCCAGGTGTCCAGGAGAAGCAAGCAGGAGACTGACCAGGAGGTAAGGGATAGGTGAGAGCCCAGGGAAGGCCCGGTTGTTGGGAGTGGGGAGGCAGAGGGGAAAGAAAAGCAGAGGATGGGGCAGGTGAGGAAGCCTAGGGGCTAGTGGGAGCACAGGGCAGAGGCCGAGGGAGGATGAAGGCTTGGGAGAGGTAGCAGGCCCGGCTGCTAGGGCAGAGGCCCCAGGCTACCCGGTGCCCTGACCACCCCACTGGGCAGGCCGGAGCGGGGATGGCAGCAGGGTCCTGGCTCCACAGCCCTGGTTACCTGAAGTTGGATAAGGAGGCCGCTGGGGCTGGAAGAGGATGAAGACAGGAAAAGGCTGGAAGGCTCTCACAGGAGAAGCTAATGTCCAGTTTGCGAACTGGTCAGTGCCTTCGCTTTTTATGTCTGAGTCGGCTCCTCCCAGTCCCGGCTCCACCCTACCCCCACCCCCTCCCTGCTGACCACTCCCCCCGCCCCCTTTGCACCCGCCCCCTCCCTCCTTCCAGCCAGTCCCTTTTCTCCTGCACCCCCAAGAACTAGCCTTGGACCATTCCTTAGCAAAGCACCACCAGTGGGAGGGGGGCCTCATCGTGCGCCCCCAGCCCTTTCTGCACAGACCAATGGGGGCGGGAGGGGGCTCCTTCCCACATCCTCCTATGGAAAGTTCCACCCAGTAAAAGGCAGGGGCAGTTATTTCTCTTTGAACTGTAACTTTCCTGCCCTTCTGAGCCCGAAACCGTACCCTCTCCCCCCAACATTCCAGGTTGATAATGCTGGGGACAGAGTTGGGGTGTGTGGGGGTGGGGAGAAACAGCTAACTGTGGGGTCTAGCCTGACTCTTTTGCCAATTTTTTTTGGGGGGGGGGGGCTCCTGGCCCCGCCCACCCAGTTTTCCTTCCTGTCTCATTGGCACAAAGTCAACATACCAGGGTGGGCTTCAGAGACTCTGTCTCCCCTCCTCATCACCCAGCACCCTGGGAGGGGTACAGGGCCTGCGCATCACGAATCCTATGTTTTAAGCTGCTCATCACCCCCCTTCCCCAACACACAGCAAAGCACCAGGAAGTCTCCTGTGAGTCCAACTTACGCACCCCCTCCCCAACAGTCCCCATACCCCCGCCCCTTCCCCCACTCCTTGGCGCAAGGGGGAACAAGAGTTGCTTAGGGAACGAGCCCCCAGCCCCCCACCCACCACACCAGTCCCTTCATGCCTAAGCCGGGCCCTGCGCACCTCCCACCCCCAGGGCCCCTGAGAGCCCTTACCTGGAAGCCGGCGACGCTGCCGCCCATCTCCCTGCTGCGGGTATGCAAACCGAACAGCGGGCGAAGGCCCTTCTGCCGGGCACTCCTCTGCCAGCGCCGCTCTGGCCGAGTCGCAGAGCCGAATGTGCGACGGGACAGAACGGGGAGATGGCTTTTTTGGTGGGGATGGGGGGCGTCTCTTCTGCTTCTTTAGGGTATCTTAGGGCTGGGGCGGGCCAGATATTGTACTTTCGGGGGGGAAAGGTATCGGGAAATGAGGTCAGCTGTTGTATCAAGGATAGTTGGGGGGCAGAGATAGTAAGAGAGACAGAGTGAACGTGAAAGGGGGGGACCACAGAGAGGGAGAGAGGGAGAGAGGACAGCGAGAGGCGGGTAGGCTCACAGCGGGAGAGGACAGCACGGAGAGAAACAGAAAGCGTATAATTAATCCACTTGGGTAGGCGAAGGCAGAGGGCGGACGTGAGGGGGAGGGAGTCTGAGGCGAGGAGCGGGGAGGGGGCAGGAGGGGAGCTTAGGAAAGGTGGCGAGTAAGCGAGTGCGCGAGGGGGGGCGCACTCTAAGCAGAGGAGAGGATGCAACTTCGAAGGACCGAGGACGGTGTTGAGGGGGGAGGAATGGAGGCGTCACCCCGGCCACGGGCACCCAGCTCGGTTAGGGCCGACGGAGCCCTCAGCCGTCGTAAGCCCGGGCTTCTTGTGGGGGGGTACAGGCGTGGCGGCGCCGCGGCTGCTCGGGACTGCAGCGAAAAGAGAGGAGCGGCCGGGCTGCGCGCCGGGGAGGGCTGGGAGGGGGAGCGCGGGGGATGACAACGCCGGCGACCTGCAAGCCGGACTGCCTGCGGTGGGGACCGCCTCCTCTGGCGAAGCAGGAGTGGGGTGTTGAGGTAGATAGAGGAGGAGGCGGTGGGGAGATCCGCAGGCCCGACGGAGCGCGGCCCCGCCGACGGCGCCCTGCACGGGAGTTAGCAGCAGCGAAGTGGCGGACGGCGTCGACGCGGGGCCGCCAGCCCGGATGGAGGCGCTGGCGGGCCGAGCGCGGGCGGGCGTGGGCCAGGAGGCGGGGGCGGCCGGAAGGGGGGGCCGGGGGCCGGCCTGGCCTCACGCAGCTCCGCCGGAGAGCAGGCGAACTCCGGGCGCCAACGCCCGGTTCTTATAGCCGCGCCACCCCGCGGCTCGGCGCCCGCTCGGGCCCCGCTGGCCTTACGCCCGCGCCAATGGGCGTCCGCAGGGCCCTCGCCCCGCCCCGGGACCGCCCCCGCAACTCGAGCCACGGGGGGAATGCGGGTCGGGGGCCCTGGGCACGGGGGTTGCCTGTGGGGGGGAGTGGGGTGCCCGGTAGCAAAGATGGGGGTGGGCTATGCGCCCCAGCAGGCCCACCAAGTCCTGGGTGTCCATCTCAAAAAATCGAGGCTTCAAGTCATGTTTCCGGGGTGTCCTGTGCTTGTGCAACATGGGCGCGTGGTGCTAACCAACGTGCGTGGCACCCTAGGCCTCAGTGGTAGTGAGGGAACCTGTGCCCAGTTAGAGGGTTACAAGGTAGATGCATCCCGACAGGCAGTTAAGGCATAGGTAGCTGGATCGAGGGTCCTCACAGGGACCTACCTGCCAAGCAGGGGACAGTCCCCTGAATCGGCTCGGCAGAGCGCGCAGCCTCCACCTGTCTGAGCAGTGTGGGCTGCGATGTATCTCGAATAGCAGCTTAAGCGCCCCTAGCCTCGTGCTTTGTGCGGGATCTCCTAGCAGCCTGGGGGGGGGGGCACCAGGTGCACCATGAAGGGAAGGCTGGCTTGGCCACGCCAGATCTGGGCCCCCTGTGGAGCCCAGCACAATGTCTGCACTCTTCCGCAGAAAAAGAAGTAGGGCGGGAAAGGTAGCTCAAACCAGACCTGTAAAGCCAGAGCTCACTGAAAAGCTTCTAAGCGGCGCGCCTTTGGGACCCACCCAGAATGTCCAGATAACAGTTCCCTGTCCTCAGCACTTTAAATTTGCTTAGTTGCAGGTTCGGCCCCAGGGGCCAACAGGATAATTTGGGGCTGTTAAGAAACTATCTCTGGGTGGTTTAGATATAAGAAGCCACTGTGAGTTTTACTAAATCAAAATCACTCCTAAACCCGTGCACCTTGTTTCCCTCTCCCGACCTCCGCACCTCTAGGCCTCTAAGGGGCCACTACTGGCGGAAACCCGTGCACCCAGGGCTAACCTCCCAGCCCGACCATCAATCACCGCGCCCGCGCTCTCTGCTTGCTTCCTAAGCCCTCGACCTGTAGGGTTGGAGGCTCCAAGCCGCCGGAGCGCTCTGCCCTTCCCGCTTCCTGGCCGCCCAGGCGCTTTCCCTATCACCGCGTTGTTTGCAGAGTGCATACAAAGTGGCGCGTGTTTCGGAGCGCCTAGCCCAAAGAAGCCCGGCCGCCGCTGAGGGAGAAGCTAGCAGCCCGCTCCCGCGCTACTCCGCAGCAGCCCTGAGGACAAACTGCGAGGTATCCGGTGCCCAGCAGCGGAAGAGCTGGAGCACGAGGGAGCGCGCCACGGGGAGCTCACCGCAAGGCCGAAGGTCGGGTCCGCTGGCGCAGGAGGATCGGAGAAGGGCGGGAGAGCTGAAGTGGGAGCAGCCGAAGTGGAAGGTGAGTGAGACCCCAAGGGCAGTCCCCAGTGTCCCGGGGCAACGCCCAGTCCGTTGGAAGACCCGGGGACAATGCCCAAATTTGGGGGAAACTGGGGGCAATGCCCAGTCCTTTTCCTGGACACGGGAGCAGCACTGCCCACGTCCTGGCTGCCGCGCAGTGTCCGGTGCGTGTTTGGGGCACACACACTTTTCCAAAACCCGAGCTGCCTCTGGGACACCGTAGAAGTGAAGAGGCCGATACCAGTGTTATGCGCAGGACGGGAAGCTGCCGAAAGTGGCCCCCGGAAACAATGATCAAATTTCGGGGATCCCAAATCAGACCCTTGTCTGATTTGCGGCCCTGGGAATGAGCGGCCCAAAATAGGGGGACTCGAAGGAGACTCCATAAATGGCGAATGACTAAATTTGAGATCCCAGAAAAATTAGAACTCATGTTGGGGAACGAGGGAATTTATTCTATGCAAAAATAGGGGGGCATCCTGATCCAGGCCTAACATGGGGAACCCAACATCTTGGTTAGCAAGCTTGGGAAACCCACAAAATCCTAGACTAATTTGTAGAAGTTAGGTGGTTTGTTGTTGCTGTTGAGTTTAAGAAAATCCCCAACATAAAATTTGGGGGAGCTTAATTTTAATTGCTTAAAAATGAGAGATGAAAAACAACAGATGGATTTTAGGAATTCAGGTCAATTCTTTTTGGGGGTGGGAGTGGAGACTAGGGTTCACCCTGGAGCCAGTGGGCCCTACGGCACCCGGGGAAAATCACCTCTAATTTCTGTGGCTTCAGAGAAGTCCTCGAGAGAATGGGGAAATGCTGTCTAAATGTGGGGGAATTAGTAGTGCAAGCAGTCCATCTGAGAAAGCTAGAAAAATCAATGTCTTGTAATATTTTAATTTCTTAAACAGATTCCTATTGATCTTTTTGTTGAACAAGGGGGAGTTCGTATGTTTTCTTGGACAATGTTTGTTCTTGGAGAAACATACTCCCTGTTTTGGGGATCAATAAAAATTACCCAATAGATGTTGAAATCTAAATTGCAGGGAATAGAATTAGTAGCTAGAAAATTTGTAAGACACAGACCTTTAAAACCTAGGATTTGGGAGATGTGGGACTTTTTGTCAGTGTGCTTTGGGGACCATAAAATATTATACAAATATAGGGAGACTCCGGTAGAAGTCATAAATTCAACAAAGTTCATTAAAGTTTAATAAAAATCCAACTCTTTGAAAGAAAAAAAATCTCAATTTGTTTTGGAGTACCTGAATTTGGGGGCCCAGGAAAATAATTTCTGAATCTAAAGTTCCCCAGTCCTTGGAGCACTTCAGGGCCAATTCCTACATTACAAGGAATAGAGATTACAGTTTCTAAATCACAGGGCCTGAGAACCAATCCCCCAAACATGTAATCTGCAGAGATTGTGCAGGATGATTGGGGGGGGGGAGTTGAAATGTAGGGGGCTGAGTGGGTGTATAGCTGCTATTGCAGTGGGAGAAATCAGAACCTTTTTGTGACCCAAGGCTAACACTAAGTGTATTTAGGGGGCCTGGAAAAATATTGCCTAATGTTTGAGAACACTAGGTATGAGCCAACATGGGGTGGGGGAATGAGAAAGATACAGGATGGTACTGGATTTTGCAATTGGTGTTTGAGTTAAAAACTGTTTTTTTTTAAATTGGTAAATTAAAGGGACCCAAGGATTCTTAATATTTGGTGCAGAAAAAAATGCTCAGTGTTCAAGGACTGGGGACATTTAACATTCTAGTATTAAAAAAAAAAAAAGGCTGTGGCCAAGAGTTAATTTTGTGCCTTCTGTGACCCAGAAAGACATGAACAGTCATATATGACTTGGGAGAGCATGGAAAGCCCTCCGCCACATATGAGCACATGCCTTAGATCATTGCCCAGCCTGCGTTGGGGGCTTTAGTGAGAGTGTTTATATTTTAAAGAACCCTAACCGTGGCCAGAAAGTTTGCAGGAGCTGTAGAAAACCCCAAAACCCTGTGACCTGTGTGTGTGCGTGGAATTATTTTTTTGGGGGGGGTGTTGTTGAATGTTTTTTAGATGCGATTGGTGAATGCACTCCCTCGATTTTCTGGAATCCGAGAATGTAGGCTACTTGAGGTGCCTACATTTAGGGGAGGATATAGAAAAGAAAGGTTGGAACTTTGAGGGTTCCAGGAAAATTGTTAAAGAGGTCTGGGTGGGATTCAACTTGTAAACTTCGGGATTGGGGCAATAGACTACAGAATCTAGTGTATTATGTTCCACGTTAATAAAACTATAGGACGGGTGGTGGTGGGGGAAGAGAGACAGCAAGAACATTAATGCAGATATAAAATGATAGGGACACGGGGAAAATACCCTGCTACCTCATCCCCTGGAGACAGTGCCTAAACGCTGTCAGAATGTCCACTCTCCAAAGTAAGAAAATTTTGTCAAAAGGACTAAGGACCCCGGTTTACTTTAAATTTGAGGGAACTGAGGATGGTGTTTTTACATCTGTCTGTAGGAGCTTGCATTTAAAACGGTTAGAAGCCAGAAACTTGGGTGTCCAAGCCAAATAATCTAATTTTGAGAGAGGTGAAAGTCCCACCTTTTAAAATATTTAGAAATCAAGTATCAAAAAAAAACCCAAAACAAACAACAAACAACAACAGCAACAACAACAAAACCCTTTCCCCTGTGAACAAAACAAATGCTGACCGATATTTTGAGGGCCCCCGGAAAGCAATACTTAAATTTCAAGGATCTCAGAGAAACTAACGCCTGAGGTGCAGAGAAGCCGGCAAGTTGCTCTGGCTGTAGGAGGACCACAGAGAGCTAGAGCTGAATTTGAAAAACTGAGCTCCCGGGCCGGGAAGGATGGGGCGCCAGGATCCGCGGTGCCAAGGAACTCACACGGAGCAGGGGCGCCCTCACGGGGAACGCGGGTGCGGGAAAGGGGCACAGGCAACGCAGACTGGGAGCACAGACGGAGCGCGCGCCCGAACCAGCTGCATGTTTCGTTCTTTAGCCTTCTAGCCAACGAGAGGGTTTGGGTAGCGGAGGCCGAGCGGGACGGGCGTCGGAGAGGGAGGGGGAACGTCGAGTAGCAGCGCGCTGCTCCCTGAGACTCAACGGGCT